CGATGAACCTCGTTGCGGTCTTATTTTTCGGCATCTTGTTATTCTTGCTGGCCGGCTATCTGAAGCAGAACCATGCTATCTGCATGGCCGGGGCAGCAACGGCGCACTTCGCTTGGCTGGCCGCCTTCGCATGGATGACGGTTCTGAGCATCAGTGTTGCCTATACCCTGGGGTCTAAAATGTCTCAACGGCATCAGCGGAGGGGTATCGATCGAGAACTGGTTGCCTACATGTGTGTGGCCTACGGCATCCCCTTGACCATAGTCTGCACCTGTCTGACGCTGCAATTCTGTGACTGCACCGATCTCCCTGTGATCTACGCAGAGGCAAGTATCTGCTGGATCACTGACGCCACCGTTCGTGCGGTCACCTTTGTGGTACCGATAGCAGTGGGTCTGGCGTTAAACATCGTGATGTATGTCTACACAGTGCTTCAAGTCCGAAGAACTAGACAAGCGAGCAAGGTCGTTCGGAACGAGGGAACGGCAGACACCGTCAAGGAAGAACTCTCTATCTACGTAAAGGTCAGTTTAAGAAAACGGTTTTCTTACAGTGAGCGATAACCCCGTGCTATATTATGAATAAAGAAAATCTGAACAGCAGACGTTGTCGGTACGCAAGTCCGCTGGTGCTTGAATTTGAATCGAACCAGACTATGTTGAGGGCATCAGACTGACAAATTATTCTTAGAGTGAAGTATTACTGTTATAATCTTGTGATTATCCATTAACTGGTGTTCATTCCATGTCGGTAACTTGGGCTGCATGCATGTGAGCTATGTGATTGCAGGTCTTTTGCAGAAAAAAGTTAGCTCCTATCAATTATAGAGCTTATACGTGATTGACCTCTAATTGGGAATTTAAACACGTAGCAAATATGACAGGTATTACAAAGACGTCGGGGCCTCGAGTTTTCTTCAGCGAGTATCACGAACCTACACTATAAAAATCGAACCTCGAGACATTAAAAAAATCTTTTAATCGACAGATTTGCACTCTTGTCGGCCTGACCTGGGTGTTTGGCTTCGTGTCGCAGTCAGTGACGGGCATCCTGGTCTTCTCCTACATCTACATCATCCTCAACTATCTCCAGGCAGTCTTCATCTTCCTTAGCTTCTGCCTCAATGAGAGGGTGCGGGGCATGTGGAGACAAAAGGTGCAAGCCAAGCGGACGGGAGTCCCGAAAAATTCAACGTCTCAGCCGAAGCACGGCGGAAGCACGAGTACTGCTACAACCAACCTGTCTCCGATAAGTTACTTAAACGCAACAACAGAAAATACCAAACTGTAAATCTCAGATCTCTGAGCGAAGAGTCTGAAGTAAAAAAGTAAGCTTAGTCTAAATTAAAAAAGTAAAGTGGAAAGAGTCTGAAGTAAAAAAAAATGTCATTTCAATACAGAGAGTCCAGGTTTAAATTGTCATTACAAACACATTGCCCGGCGGTAAACAAATCGGATTTACAAAAGGATCATATTTTTAGAGGCTTCTGAAAATACTTAGTAGAAGCCTGGAAAAAAGTACCAAAACACTCACTGTTGGTAAATATTGTAAATTGTTGTAATTTCAGAAGAATTGTAAAAGTTCTTTCAACTTTTAAAGTTTAATTTAATTATTAATTTCTATAAGTCTATTGCACGGACACTATTCTTGTTGTTTTCAGCCTACGATTTATCAAATGCTTTACAAATAGAATTAATTTTGCATTGATCACAATATGTGGTAGCATAAAAAATCTTCAAGTTTCTTTCATGGGAGAAATATGAGACTTTTCGTGTACAGTACATTTGTAGATGTAGTTGCATATAATAATTTCATATTTATTCTGGTAGATTACAATAACGTAATTTTCCGGTCTTAGAATTTTAGAATTGTGTCGTTAAAGAAATCTCATTAAATATTACAACTATAAGAAAAACAAATGACCAAACAAAGGTACATTTCGCCAAAACTTTCACGGAATTATTTCATGTATAGAAATAACGTTCGTTATACAGAACAAACCAACATGATCGTTTGAGTTTCCCTAAAAGACAAATTGCTGTAGTAAATCAATATTTCAGCAACGTAAATTGTTAAATATTTCCTTGATAAAAAATCAGACCTGGCATTATTTAGATTAAATCGACTGACGTCAGAAACAACCAAGCTATCAAATAAAAATAACATCAATGGGCCAGTAAATTGGTTACCGGAATGCATCTCGACACCTATACCTCGACCAAACTTTTCATCACTTTACCGTGATATTTCAAGCATGCATTTTGACATGCTGTTTCCAAGATTTACTTGATGTAATTGTGCTGACTGAGAAATTTCTTCATATGATTGAAAACCCACTTCACTCGGATAAAAATTTCAATAATCACAAAGGCGTTCTGGAATTCCTTTTACTGGTGCGAAGACATGAACACTGCGTCCAATATCACAATCATCAGACGTAGATGGCTACATTGATCCAATCCAAAGAAGGCGGCTACTGTCGTTTGGGGGAAGTCTGCAGTGACATATCCTACATTGAACTGAGTCAAGGGCCGATCTAGAATTTCTAAATGATAACCAGTTATTACACCCTAATTACTCCAGTTACTCTCAGCACTCTACAATGAGCAAAATGGTCACATATTAGTAAGAGTGAAAACATTGACACTGGCTTGCTGACCGGTGTGGCACTTATCGATCTCCGTAGGGCATTTGACACAATTATCACTCAACTCTTCTTGCTAAACTAAAATCACTGGTTTGAGGGTTATCTTTCAGAACGTAGCCAACGAGCTAACCAGACTTTTTGTACAGTCCAGAATGTTGTTAATGGTGTCCCTGGCTCTGTATTGGGTCCACTGTTATTTTTGATCTGGGTGAATCCTATTCCATCACCGGTCGGCACAGGTATCGTGGACATGTTTGCTGATTGCACGTTGACACTTACTGGTAAATCTAGTACAGACGTTGAGCAAAACCTGTTGCATGCACTTGTTGAGATCTCACAATAGCTAAATGTAAACGGCCTGGTTACGAATTATGACAAAACAAAGCTGATGATCACTACATATAAAAGTAAGCTTGACAGATTTAGAAGCATCAATGCTAAACTAATGCCATTAAAAAGAGTCAGCGAAATGAAATGCCTAGGTGTTATCGTCGAATTAAAAAAAGAATGAAGTGAAGATTGAAACGGAATGACCAAATAAGCAAAGTGATGGCAACAATTCAAAACAGATAGGTAGGCTACTACAAACGGGGCGGATCCAGGATTTTTCCAGGGGGAGGGGGGCAGATCCCGGATTTTCCGACGGGGACGTGAACTAAATCAGTACTGGTAATGGCAAAATGCCGGAGGGCGTGGGGTCTGGAGCCGTTCTAGATTCATGGTGCTCTGTGACAGGCAGTGTGACAACTCTTTATTCTTCTTTTTTATTTATTTATTAGTTTCTGGTGAAAAAAGGGGACGTGCGCCCCCCACTCCCCCTGGATCCACCCCCGACGAATCAAACCTTGTATCCCTTTGCGACCACTCAAAATACTATGTATACGTAAGGCCTGTATCTTTCCCCATTTTGTCTACTGTGGTTCCCGTGAAGCTTTGGATACGTTGGGATGGATGCATATCCAGAAACAATTTTCATATTTGAGAGCCGTATCTATGTACAAAATAATTCACAGTATTTCCCTTCGTACTTAACATATGTTGGAAATAAAACATCCAACATCCACCATTATCCCACTAGGCATTCCACCGACGATAAGCTATTTATTCAGGAATACAAGACACTTTGAAGCATAGTGCAGTTACTACTGTAGCTGTGGTCTGGAACTTGTCACAGTGCCGATTTCGGTACCCTTAACATCGGTCTACTTTGTTCATTCATCTGTTTCAATAACATCACAAGCTGTGTACCATTGCAAAGAGGGCATTCTGCCCTTTCTAGAGATATATTTCTCTTTCCCATATATAAATTACTTTTGCTTTTACAGTAATTTTTATCTCGGTATACTTTTATGTGGACACCCTGTATTAAAATATTAAATATATAATATTCTGCCTTTTCTATTATATTTTCAGAGTTTGGGAATAGTATATATAGAAAATAAATTTTGTGAAATCGCAAAACAACGTCATAATGTCTACCAGAAAAGTAAGCGGCCGGAAACGCCTCCATTAGTCGAATTAACTCAAATAATCGTGGGGTTTTTAAATCATCTGGCCACGGAAGTATCAGAGCCGCAGCTAAGTAAACTTGCGTCAATTAATCTTTTAAAGGAGAGATCGTGTGGGGTTTATGATGTCAACCTTGGGGAAAGTTGCGGCGGTAGGTCTGCCAGAGGCAGATATTTATAAACTTCAAATAAGAAAACATATGTAATCCTCGGTGGCAGTGCTTCTACGTGCTTATTCTATTAAAAACATCGTTATTATAAAAATGCTACCCTCCAAAAGATAATAATGGGGTGTCAGCAATGCAACATTACCTACAGCGCGTATGAATTTCTGTGTTATTTCTGAGTAACATAAATCGATGATTTAAAAGCCGTCCAATACAGCACAGTTGATAAGAAAAAGGAATATTATTCGATAAATTAGGCTGTTCTATCGTTACAATAGAAAAGGTTCTTTATGAATCAGTTGATCCATTTTTAGGATTGATTTCACGATTTCTGTGAACAAATGATGTCACAATTTACTTTAGCATTGTCCAACTTGTTGAAATACCCCAGTGGCCAAATAATTTAATCGGATGTCTATGAAACAATTATAATTGTAATCATTGTTATTCACTTCTTATAACCATTCGCAGATATATATTTCTTTACCGGTTTCAATCAAATTCTTTATCATGTCTTTCAGGTACAAATCAAGCAGTGTTTTTCTGTCTTCCATAATACACTTGTGTTTGGCTTTAATTTACCCCTGGTCTGTCATCCCTGTAACAGGTGCAATACACGGTTTCGCGCTCGTCCCGGCAGCTCGCATAACACTTATACGACGCCCTCATTTGATAGCCTTTATTGTACAACCTGTGTCATACGTCACTAGTCAGCAATTCCGACTTAATTGACGGATAAGACAATCGGATCCCCGTTGGTGGTATGTAGTTATCCAAAATTGCATATGAACGACATGAACTTGCATAATGTCTACGGAATTCAGTCAAAGTAGTCAGATTTGTAGACTCGTTCATTATCATGCAAGCATGAACGAAGTAAAAACAAGTCCTGCAATGCAATTGGCTTCCAGCACTTTTGGTAGATGAGCCCCTTGGCCGTGCCATGGAGGAAGGACACAGAAGGAGTTACAACTCTGGCAAATCAAAGTGCTCAATGGTCATCGCCGCAATAGTAAACATTCCAAAAATGCCAGATTACTACCTGCAGCTTAGCTGGGCAAGTGGGGTCACTAATATCGTAACAAAATTTGTGGCGTTTTCTTTGAAATTAAGTACAACCTATCGCAGTGACCAGGAAACAGAAAGAAAAAATATGTAACATTAGATTTACTTTTGCCGTAGCGAATATTTTTTAAGGATTTTGATGCCCTTTTCCATTATCGATGCATATGCTTCTAATTTTATTTTGTCACTCCAAAACATCAATTTTCAAAGTCTGTGTACGAGGCCTATATGTGCTTGAGCCACTAGGTATCTATTATGGAACAGTACCTAAGCCAAAGCAGTAGACCTTTTTCCAGTGATGTCACAATCGTGCTGGACCTATGATGTGTTGCGATGGTAATGATTGTATAGTGTTGTGATGGTAATTTACCTATTCAAGATGAACTAGTCAAGCATGCAGTGTTCGCATGTGCGCTAGCACGTGGTTGAAGCTGACCGTAGGAACACGCAACCACCGTGGCGAAGGCGCTCCACACGCGGTGGTATTGTTTACATTTAGTCAAGTAAGTGAAAAAGGTCTATAGTCAATAAAATAAAGGCTGGATCAGCCTGATGTATTACAGAATACACTGCTTTAGTCCTGAAATGTGAGCGTTTTAAACGCGTATATTTTTCATGATGGAAAACAGGTCATAATTATAATTGAAAATTCTGTATTGGCTCCGATACGACGACATAAATAACCGATACATATAAAATACGAGCACGTATCAGAAGAGAATTATTTTGGTTGACGCTACATGAGGCGGGTGAAAATGGGAGTCCATCGAGCACATATAAAGCTATGAAACTAAACTGAGGGATATTCATTATTCTTTACATTCACGAAAGCCTAATCAAGGACCTATAAAAAAAGCAAGACCTTCCCACTTCACGCTTCCTGTCTTAATCCTCAAAGAGCTG